ACATGAGACACTTATACAGGAAACTGAGGTGGAGAAATAAATAAAGATGGAATTAGAGCAATATTTTACACTCAATGAGACTGAAGAGGTATGTGTTGCTACAGTCTGGGAAGCACATAAGGCATATATTAGGGGAATCCTGATCTCGATAGGGGCCAAAAAAAAGAAAGAACGGGGAAAGAAAATAAGACTAATAACTGAGGAACTACATGACTTAGAGCAACTACAAAAGAAGAAAATAGAAACAGAGATACAACAGAAGATAACTCAAAAAATAGAAGAGTTAAAAGATTTAATGGAACAGGAAATGAGAATAGTCTTTCTATTTCAATATTTTTGTTAAAGAAGTTTTTTGGAATACAACAGGCTCATGATACGTCCACACAGGGGCAGAGTGGAACAAAAGCATACATAAGCAGCTACAAATCAGCAGGGTGTAATAACAAAATAACGGAACGTCCAATCGCACCAAAGGGGAATGGCAAAAAGCCGAACCAAACAGTATCAGCAGCATTCCATCATCTTACCAAAACAAAACAAAGAGGAAAAAACCCCTACCGAGAAGTATCAGCTCAGAATAAATGGGAAAGAAACCCAAACTAATGAAAATAATAAAGAATAGGAAAGTAGAAGGAAATAAGGAAGGGAGAAAAGATTCAGGGAGAAAGCAAGGAAGAAGGGAAGAATGGAGGAATCACAGATCCAGGGCCAGCACATGCAACGACTACAAGAGGCCATAGCTAGTAGGAGGCAAAAACTGTAGGGAATAATGTATCCAATGTTCCCAAACCTTAAGGAATCTCGGATGAGAATCCTGAAGAATGCTAGACATCTGTTCATTGATCATCCTAGCATTCAGCAGGGTCTTCACACCCTGGAAGGCAACCAAAGGGGTTCTCCAGGCTTGCGCTATAGCACGTTTGGCCGAAATGAATAGGTAGGATGCCAATTTCTGCTGAGACATGGACAGACCCAAAATTGGACAATGCAGGAGGGCCACTCTCCCATCTTTATGGACCGTAATATGAAATAACATTTGCAGCAAACCAAAAACCCTAGACCAGAAGCCTATCAATCACGGGTACAACCACCAGATATGCAGAACATCCACACATAGACCACAGTTCCAGAAACATCTATTTCCACCAATCAGATTAAAGTGAGCAGTCTGAGCCAGGACCCAGTACCACAGCAGGAGAACTTTGTAGGCTGCCTCAAGAGTGACGGTATTGAAAGAACATTTTACCACCAGCAACCAGGCCTTGTGCCAATCCTCTACCACAATTGAGAAACCTAGACCTCGCTCCCATTGAGAGACATAGGACAGGGGCGGTGAGGAGGACCTACTGTTAAGAGAGGCATAAATTACAGAAATGAGACCAGGGGACCCTGGGGAATGTTGACAAATGTGTTAAAAGGGCGTTTTGTGGTAAGGATAAGTGGAGGTACAACGTAGGGACATAAGCCAGTGGCATAATTGGAAATAACGATAATATTCCTGTGGCGGAACCCCTGTGATTCTCAAAGAGACTCCCAAGATGGAAATGAATGAGGGTTCAGAAAGTCATTTACAGTAACAAAGCCATGGGAGGTCCATCAAGAGAAAAAAGGGGGATGTTCTAATCCTGGAGGAAATAGAGGATTATGCGTAATCGACAAAAGAGGTAGAAAAGGTGATATTAAATTAGCCAAGTATGTAACAGAATCCCAGGTTCATAGACTGTGAAACATGATGGGGCTCAGGTGGGGGGGGGGAACAACTTATGCGGGAGCCAAAGCAACGTAGTTAAGGAAAGTGGAGCACCATTGGGTAATTCCAAGAGTACCCATAACGGGATATCTGTTGTGGCATGAAGCATGGACAACTGGGAAATGTGAGCCACCAAATAAATATCTAGAAATATGTGGGACTCTCAGACCTCCCTGCAGTCTATGGGCATACAGAGTGGATCTAGAGACCCTGGGATGCTTATGAGCCCAAATAAAATGAAGAATACGGCTTTGCAATAGATGAAGAAAGAACTCAGGGACCTGAATAGGGAGAGTGCGAAAAAAGTACAGGATCTTTGGCAAGATAATCATCTTGACAGCATGTATCCGGCCAATCCATGACAAAGAAGGAAACACTCAGAAATGAAACAGGGAAGTCACGGATCGCAATAAAGGGTAATAATTTGCGAAAAATAAGGCAGAGTAGGAGGTAGTAAGTGTAACGCCAAGATAAGCCAGGGAGTGGGATGCACAACGGTAAGGAAATTGTGTCTGCAACCGTTCAACCAGGTCAGCAGGGAGCATAATATTCAATGCTGTGGTTTTAGACAAGTTAATGCTAAGGCCAGATATAGCTGAAAATCAGTCCAGCATGACCTGGAGATTGGGGAGAGTGATGAGAGGATTGGTTAGAATCAAGAGTGCATCATCCACATGAAAGGTGGCCTTATACTGAGTTCCTGCATAGGGGACACATCAGGGTGGTTTGGAATGGCTGCAGCTAGAGGTTTGAGAGTCAGAACAAAAAAAGTAGGTGACAGTGGGCATCTCTGTCTCGTGCCCTGAAAATTGGGAAAGATGAGGAAAAAAGCTTGCATATTTGACAGGGGCTGAGGGAGACGAATATAAAGCCAAAATCCTTGCTAAGACCAAACCCCCATCTAGACAACGTATATGTCAAATACTCCCAAGAAAGTGAATTGAACGCTTTTTATATGTCCAGGGATAAAAGAAGCCCCGGGATTCTGTGGTGATGTAAAATATGAATGAGATGGATGACTTTTAGAGATGAGCGAAGTATTCAAAAATTCGATTCGGTTGATTCGGCGAATTCGAGGAATAAATTTCGATTCGAGGCGAATATATTCGCTGCGAATTTAACTTAAAAAAGGGTGTTTCTAGGCTTCAGAGAGCCTTTATATTAGTGCAGAACACTGTACCTTTAATTTAAATGCCCTTGGAGTATGCTGGGGAAGAGAAATAATACTGTCAGTCAGTATGACATGCAGATGAGTGCCGTCGATCTTAGAATCACCGCACACTTCACTCATTTGGGCAGTCATGGGGCCAAAACCAGAGCGTGGAGCCACAGTGTGGCGGTGGAGGCAGCAGCAATGGGAGGCCATACAGCACCCTATGACAAAAATGGAACCCACCAGCAGTGTGAGGAGACCTGAAAGTGGCACATGGCAGAGTGTGGCGATGGAGACAGCAGCAATGGGAGGCCGTACAGGGACCCATGACACACTCTGTACCTGGCAGCAGCATGAGGAGGCGATACAGGGGCCCATGGCAGATTACAGGCCTGGCAGCAGCAATGGGAGGCCCGTAATCTGCCAGCACCCTATGACAAAATGGAACACACACCAGCAGTGTGAGGAGACCTGAAAGTGGCACATGGCAGAGTGTGGCGATGGAGACAGCAGCAATGGGAGGCCGTACAGGGACCCATGACAGATTACGGGCCTGGCAGCAGCATGAGGAGGCGGTACAGGGGCCCATTGCAGATTACGGGCCTGGCAGCAGCAATGGGAGGCCCGTAATCTGCCAGCACCCTATGACAAAATGGAACCCACCAGCAGTGTGAGGAGACCTGAAAGTGGCACACATGTTTAGGGCATGATTCATGGCGGATTTAGTCAGTTGTGTCAGGAACTGGTGGTTTGAAATCCAGACTAATCCACGTCTGATTCATTTTCACAAACGTGAGTCTCTCACACTTTGGTTGGACAGTCGTGTCCTCCGCGGAGTTACAATACCTCCTGCCGCACTAAACACGCGCTCCGATGCCACGCTACTGGCCGGGCATGACAGCCTTTCAAGGGCAAATTCAGCTAGTTGGGGCCAGTTGGGGCCAAAGGTCAAGTTTCGTTGCCCAGTAGTCAAGGGGATTGTCTACCTCAGTTGGCAGGGTGCTGTCCAAGTAGGCCCAAGCCTGTTGTTTGAGGTACAGCTCCAGGTCCACCTGATGCTGCTGCTGCTGCTGCGGCTGGTTAGTAGTTTCCTCACTGCGCTGGTGAAGAAAGCTACTTATCATCGACTGCAGACTGAGGCAGCCGCTGCTGGTGGAGCTGCCACTGCTCCTACCACCCCACCCCTCCCCTGCTGCCATGGCAGCGGAACGCGAGCGCACAGGGCCCACAGTGTCTGAGGATGGACGTTGGCGCAGAAAGGCAGAGACCAACTGACTACATAGGTGGTTTTTATAGTACTTTATTTTGGCCTCCCTCTCAGCAGGTGTGAAAAAGGCCACCATTTTTGAACGGTAGCGAGGGTCCAACAAGGTGGACAGCCAAAAGTCATCCCTCTGTCTGATGGTTATTATTCGGCTGTCGCTACGCAAGCAACCGAGCATGCTATGGGCCATTTGTGCCAAGGAATGCGAGGGACTCCCTGCCTCCATCTCCACAGCTTACTGCCACGGTGCGTCTGGGTCCTCTGTCTCCTCCTCCTCCTCCTCTACCAGATGCTCCTGCTTCCTCACTTCTGGTCCCGCTGAGTGGAAAAACCACCCATTTCACTCAATAATTCCTGAGCACCAATTGTCCCCTCCTCTACCTCCTCCTCTTCTTCCTGTCCTGCCTCCACAGGGGTCATGTGGCCTCTACCGCACCCTGACAGCCATTGTTAACAGCATTTGTTTCCAGGACCGTGCAAAGGAGGAATGACGTCGTTCATCTACCCATAGTCCTGCCGACCTCACGAATAGCGTGGCCTCCTCAAAGGCCTGAGCAAGCGGCAGGTGTCACGCATGAGCTGCAATGGCTGACATCGAAGTTACACTGGGGTTGAGTACCTTTATCCGCTTTGTAACATCAGGAAATCGGTGGATGGCCTTTCGCTGTTCGTAAAAGGTGGTCTAACATATGTAGGGGTTGAATCCACCGTTACCTTCATGGTCTGGGTTGCAACGTCACAGCATGAGGAGTAGTCATGGTTACAGGGGCCCATGGCAGATTACGGGTCTGGCAGCAGCAATGGGAGGCCCGTAATCTGCCAGCACACCTATGACAAAATGGAACACAACCAGCAGTGTGAGGAGACCTGAAAGTGGCACACGGCAGAGTAGTGTGGCCTGATGTGAGACAGCAGCAATGGGAGGCCGTACAAAGAACCATGAGACACTGTGGACCTGGCAGCAGCATGAGGAGGCGGTACAGGGGCCCATGGCAGATTACAGGCCTGGCAGCAGCAATGGGTGACGGCCCGTAATTTTCTGTCCATCCAAACTGCCAGCACCCTATGACAAAACTGGAACACACCAGCACGTGTGAGGAGACCTGATAAGTGGTCACATGGCAGAGTGCTGGCGATGGAGACCGCCTAGCAATGGGATTGGCCGTACAGGGACCCATTAGACACTCTTGGACCTGGCAGCAGCATGAGGAGGCGGTACCAGGGGCCACATGGCAGATTACAGGCGACTGGGCAGCAGCAATGGGAGCACCCGAAATCTGCCAGCACCCTATGACAAAATGTAACCACACCAGCAGTGTGAGGAGACACTGCAGCAGAAAGTGTGCACCTGGCAGAGTGTGTCGATGAGACTAGCAGCCAGTGGGAGGGCCGTACAGGGACCCATTAGACACTCTCGGACCTGGCAGCAGCATGAGGAGGCTGGTACCAGGGGCCCATGGAGATATACAGGCCTGGCAGAGCAGCAATAGGAGGCCCGGTAATCTGCAAGCACCCTATGACAAAAGGAACACACCGCAGTGTGAGGAGACCTGAAAGTTGGACGTGGCAGAGTGTGGCGATGGAGTGAGGACAGCAGCAAAGTGGAGAGGCCGTACAGGGACCCATGAGAGACTCTGAACCTGGCAGCAGCATGAGGAGGCGTTACGGGGCCCATGGCAGATTACGGGTCCTGGCAGCAGCGAATGGGAGGCCCGTAATCTGCCAGCACCCTATGACAAAAATGGAAAACAGATCACCAGCAGTGTGAGGGACTGGAAAGTGGCAGCATGGAGAGTGTGGCGATGGAGACAGCAGCAATGGAGAAGGCCGTACAGGGACCCATGAGAGACTTCTCGGACCTCGGCTTAGCAGCATGAGGAGGCGGTACGGCGGGCCATGGCAGATTACGGGCCTGGCAGCAGCTAGCAATGACTAGGCACCGAAATCTTGCAGCACCCCTATGACAAAATGGAACACACCAGCAGTGTGAGGAGACCTGAAAGTGGCACAAGGCAGAGTGTGGTTATGGAGACAGCAGCAGAGAAGGCGGATCAGGGACCGATGAGAGACTCTGGGACCTGGCAGCAGCATGAGGAGGCGGTACGGGGGCCCATGCAGATTACGGGGCCTGGCACAGCAATGGGAGGCCCGAAATCTGCCAGCACCCTATGACCAAATGGAACACACCATCAGTGTGAGGCGACCTGGAAAGTGCACATGGCATAGTGTGCGATGGAGACAGCAGCAATGGGATGGCCGTACAGGGCACCCATGAAGTACACTCTGGGATGTGGCAGCAGCATGAGAGAGGCGGTACAGGGGGCCCAAGCAGATTACATGCCTGGCAGCAGCAATGGGAGGGCCCGTAATACTGCCAGCACCCTATGACAAAATGGGACACACACCACGCAGTGTGAGGGAGACCTGAAAGTGGCACATGGCAGAGTGTGGTGATGGAGAACAGCAGCAATGGGAGGCAGTACAGGGAACCATTATGTCGAGATCTTGGACCTGGACAGCTCGCATGAGGAGGCGGTAAAACGGGGGCCCATTGCAGATAACGGGCCTGCGGCAGCAGCCAATGGGAGGCCGAAATCTGCCAGCGACCCTATGACAAAATGGAACAACACCAGCAGTGTGAGGAGACCTGAAAGTGGCCACATTGGCAGTGTGTGGCGATGGGAGAACAGCCAGCAATGGGAGGCCCGTACAGGGACCCAATGAGAAGACTCTGGAAAACCTGGCAGCAGCCATGCGGAGGACGGTACGGGGGCCCATGGGCAGATTACGGGCCTTGGCAGCGAGCACTGGAGCGGCCCGAAATCCTGCCAGCACCCTAAGACCAAAATGGAACACCACCAGCAGTGTGAGGAGACCTGAAACTGGCACATGGCAGCGTGTGGCGATGGAGACAGCAGCAATGGGGAAGGCCGTAGAGGGACCCATGAGACACTCTGGGACCTGGCAGCAGCATGAGGAAGGAGCGGTACGGGGGCCCATGGCATATTATGGGCCTTGGCAGCAGCAATGGGATGGCCCGAAACTCTGCCAGCACACTCTGATCAAAATGGGAATCAACACCAGCAGAGTGTGAGGAGACCTGGAAGTGGTCACAAGATGGCAGATTGTGGCGATGGAGACAGCAGCCATGGGAGGCCCCGTACAGGGACCCATGAGAGACTCTGGACCTGGTCAGCAGCATGAGGAGGCCGGTACGGTACGGGGCCCATGGCAGATTAACGGACCTGGCAGCCAGCAATGGGAGGCCCGAAATCTGCCAGCACCCTATGACAAAATGGAACACACCATCAGTGTGATGAGACTGAAAGTGGCACATGGCCAGGAGTGTGGGCCGATGGAGGTGACGCAGCAAGCAATGGGGAGGCCGTACAGGGACCCATTAGACACTCTGTGACCTGGCAGGCAGCATGAGGAGGCGCGGTTTAGCAGGGGCCCATGGCAGATTACAGGCCTGGCAGCAGCCATGGGATAGGAGGCCAGTAATCTGCCCAGCACCCTATGACAAAATGGAAACACCCCAGCAGTGTAGAGGAGACTCTGTAATGTGGGCACATCCCATGGCAAATTGTGGCGATGGAGGACAGCTTGCAATGGGAGAGCCGTACAGGGACCCATGAGGAGACTCTGGGACCTGGCAGCAGCATGAGGAGAGCGAGGTGGCGGTACGGGGGCCCCCATGGCAGATTACGGGCCTGGCAGCAGCAATGGAGGCCCGAAATCTTGGGGCCAGACCCTAATTGACACAAAATGGAACACACCAGCAGTGTGAGGAGACCTGAAGAGTGGCACATGGCAGCGGTATGTGCGATGGAGACAGCAGCAATGGGAAGGCCGTACAGGGGACCCATGAGAGACACTGTGGACCTTAAGGGCAGCAGCCATGAAGAGGCGGGTAACTGGGCCCATTGGCTGATTAACGGGACCTGGAAGCAGCAATGGGAAGCCCGTAATCTGGCCAAGCACCCTATGACCACAAAATGGAACACACCCAGCAGTGTGAGGAGACCTGAAAGTGGCACATGGCAGAGTGTGGCGATGCGAGACAGCAGCAATGGGTTGTGAGGGCCGTACCAGGGACCCATGAGAGACTCTGGACCTGGCAGCAGCATGAGGAGTGCGCGGTACGGGGGCCCATGGCAGATTACGGACCTGGCAGCAGCAATGGGAGGCCGTCGTAATCTGCCAGAACCTATGACAAAATGGCACACACCAGCAAGTGTGAGGAGACCTGAAAGTGGCAACATGTGCAGAGTGTGGCGATGGAGACAGCAGCAATGGAGGCCGTACAGGGACCCATTAGACACTCTGGACCTGGCAGCAGCTATGAGGAGGTGGTACAGGGGCCCATTGCAGATTACAGGCCTGCTGCAGCAATGGGAGGGCGCCGTAATCTGCCAGCACCACTATGACAAAATGGAACACTCACCAGCAGTGTGAGGGAGAACCTGAAAGTGGCACATGGCAGAGGTGTGGCGATGGAGACAGCAGCAGTTGGGAGGCTAGTACAGGGACCCATGAGAGTACTCACAGACCTTGCAGCAGCTGTGAGGAGGCGGTACGGGGGCCCATGTCCAGATTACAGGCCTGGCAGCGCAATGGGAAGCGCCGAAATCTGCCAGCACCCTAATGACAAATGGAACACACCAAGCAAGTGTGAGGAGACCCTGAAAGTGGCACATGGCAGAGCTGTGTGGCGATGGAGACAGCAGCAAATGGGAGGCCGTACAGGGACCCATTAGACACTCTGGACCTGGCAGCAGCCATGGAGGAGGCGCGGTTACAAGGGGCCCATGGCTAGGATTACAGGCCTGGCAGCAGCAATGGGAGGGCCCGTATAATCTGCCAGCACCCTATGACAAAATGGAACACACCAGCAGTGTGAAGGAGACCTGAACGTGCACACCTGGCATGGCAGTGTGGTGGCGATGGAGACAGCAGCTATGGCGAGGGCCGGTACAGGGACCCATGAAGAGACTTCTTGGACCCTTTGGCCAGCAGATTTGAGGAGGCGGTACACGGGCCCATTGGCAAGATTACATGCCTGGCGTAGCATGCAATGGGAGGCCCCGTTAATCTGCCAGCACCCTATGACAAAATGGATCACATCCAGCAGTTGTGAGGAAACTGAAAGTAGGCACAATGGCAGAGAGTGTGGCGATGGAGACAAGCAGCAATTGGGAGGCCGTACAGGGACCCATTAGACACTGTGACCTGGCAGCAGCATGAGGAGGAAGGCGGTACAAGGGCCCATGTCAGATTACGGGCCTGGCAGCAGGCAATGGGAAGGCCTGTAATTCTGCCAGCACCCTATGACAAAATGGAACACACCAGCAGAGGTGAGGAAAAGACCTGAAAGTGGCCACATGTTTGGGGCATGAATCATGGCGGATTTAGTCAGTTTGTGTCAAGAACTGTTTTATTTTAGAAATCTAGACTAATCCTCGCCTGATTCATTTTCCACAAACGTGAGTCCCTCTCCACACTTATGGTTGGGTACAGTCGTGGTCCTCCGCGGAGTTACAATACCTCCTGCCGCAACTAAACACGCGCTTCCGATGCCACGCTACTGGCCGGGCATGACAGCCTTTCAACGGGCAAAAATTCAGCTAGTTGGGGCCCAAAGGTCAAGATGTACAATTGCCAGTAGTCATGGGAATTGTCTACCTCGGTTGGCAGGGTGTGCTGTCCAAGTAGGGCCCAAGCCTGTTGTTTGAGGTCCCTGCTCCAGGTCCACCTGATGCTGTACTGTGCTGCTGCGGCTGGTTAGTAGCTACCCTCATCTGCGCTGGTGAAGAAAGCTTATCATCATCGGACTAGCAGACTGTGGCAGCCGCTCGCGCTCCTGGTTGGAGCTGCCACTGCTACCTACCACCCCACCCCTCCCCTGCTGCCATGGCAGCGCAACGCGACGCGTCAGCAGGGCTCACAGTGTCTGAGATGGACGTTGGCGCAGAAAAGGCAGAGGACCAGCTGACTAATAGATGGTGGTTTTTTATAGTACGTTTATTTTGGCCTCCCTCTCAGCAGGTGTGAAAAAAAGGCCACCAATTTGTGAAACGGGTTAGCGAGGGTCCAACAAGGTGGGAAAGCCAAAAGTCATCCCTCCCTGTCTGAATGGTTATTATTATTCAGCTGTCGCTAACGCAAGCAACCGCAGAGACATGGCTATGGCCATTTGTGCCAAGGAATGGCGAGGGACTACCCTGCCCACCATCTCCACAGCAAACTGCCACTGTGCGTCTGGGTCCTCTGTCTCCTCCTCCTCCTCCTTCTACCAGATGCTCCTGCTTCCTCCAACTCGCTGTCCGCTGGGAAATGTGGGGGGAAAAACCACCCATAATCACTCAATAATTCCTGAGCACCAATGTCCTTCTCTACCCTCCTCCTCTTCTTCCTGTCCTGGCCCCCTCAGGGGTCCATCAGTGGCGTTGAGATCTTGTTGCGCTACGTCTACCCCCGCACCCAGACCAGCCATTGTTAACAGCATTTGTTCCAGGACGTGCACACAGAGGAATGACGACGTTCATTTCCCATAGTCCTGGCCGACTCACAGAATAGCGTGGCCTCCTCAAAGGGGCCTGAGCCAATCCGGCAGGGGTGTCACGCATCATGAGCTTGCCAAAGGTGGGACATCGAAGTTACACAGGGGAGTACCTTTATCCGCATGTCACATCCAGGAAATTCGGTGATGGCCTTTCGCAGTTCGTAAAGTCGGTCTAACATGTGTGGGTTGAATTCCACCTTGTTGCATGCACGTCGCAGGGTGTAGGGTGGAATTCCGTTCTGCGCTGCAGTTCAAGGTAGTGTGCATTGGCGGTGATACGACATGGCTGAAAAATGCATGCAAAGTTTACGTTGACATTTTTAGGATGTCTATGCAGTGGGGATGGTGGATTTTAGGAACCGCCGTGACACCAGATTGAACACGTGAGCCATTGCATGGCGGCATGGCACAACCTTCCCTTGACGCAGAGCAGACCCCATGTTTCTTCCCCGGCTTTTGTCGGTCAAACATGGATTCGATTCCGATTTTCCAGTTTGCGCGAGACAGCCATCTGTTCGATTTTCTATGTTCATTACACATCAGACGTATCCTCCCCTGTGTGTTCTACGTCGCCAAGGCATACCAGGTGCAGCACAAGCGTGACACCGGCTTGCGCCGCTGCACCATGTGAATAATGCCCTGTCGGGTAAATGGGACTTGTGCACTGGGCGGTGGCGGCTCGGGTGGCGGTTGAGGACACGGCGAAGAAGAGGTGGTAGAGGCGGGACATCTTTTGGCCGGACCAAGGAACGTGCAATCGTTGGAGGGTCAAAAGCGGCGTGACCTGTCCAAGTTGCTGGTGCGGATGTGCCGGCACCACGTTCACTCCAGTGGGCCGTTACATGACATGTTACTGTCCCTGACCGTAGTTACAGCTCCACACGTCGGCGCGTGCCGTGCACTTTTTTGGCACGAGACCGACATGCTCAAAGACTTGGCCCACCATCTCTCTTCTAAACATGTGAAAATGCAGGGCTTGGCACTGCCTTTTTGGCAAAGAAATGACGGCTTGTGGCACTACTCCACGCGCACGCGGCACAAAGCCATCATTTCTTCGGAAGAAAGGTGCTGAGGCTCCCACCACTTGGAAAGGGAGGGACTGCAGCACCAGCAAACTTGGAACAGGAGGACATTCAGCCTTCTGCACTCCACGTCGGTTTGGTGCGGTGCTCAGCAAACAGTTGTCTCTTGGAAACGATTCCAAGAAAGGACTGCTGATGGAATCCGTGAAGAGGTGTAGCAGGAGAAGGAGCATCTGAACGAGTGGAAAAATGCAAACGAGCGACAACTCCCCTCAGCAGAGGTGTTGGAGCTTGACTGGTTGATAGAGGGCGATTGACGTCCGGGTGACGGAGCAAGTAACGGAGCGGGTGATGGAGCGGGGGCTGGGGCAGGCAGAACCACCATATCTTTATCAACGGTTTTCACCAGGCACACCAAATGGCGACGCTGCATAGCTGCGCAACGCTGTAGTCCCCAACATGGGCCCCCTGGCCAAGCTTGAACTTTCTGGCCACATAGTCGTCGACATACGGCTACGTTTACTTCCTCGGGCGGCTTGACGAAAAAATTGCCACACGCCGAGTAGGAAACTTTGCCCCCGGCATACTCCTCACTGGCTGGATGCTACTTCCTCCGTGCACACCGGCACCACTACTGGCCGTTCGCGGTGGTAGGCTGCAGTGTGAGTATTGGTGCTCTACTCCGTGGCACGTTTGCTCCACTGACACTGGCTACGGACCTGCTGGCTCCTGGCAATCCCACCGACTGTTTTGCTCGCTGCCAAGCTGGCACCCTCTTTTCCTGATGATGCGGAAGCAATAGCCTGATGACGACGAGGATGCCAAGTGCGATCAGCCTCATCATCATCAATTTAGGGTCTCCGCCTCACTACTAGCCCCCACGGCTGCGTGTGGGTCAGGAGACAGAACCTGTCTCTACACCGGCTACCGAGCCACTCTCCTCCGCAGTACTTCTCGCCTGGCTGCTCTGAAGAGGCGGATGTCTCCCCCCGTTCCTGACCGCCCTCTGTTAGCTCTTTCCTCACTGTACAGTGGGGCTGAGCCCTACAGCATGCGATACTTCGCTTGGTGAGGAACACCAAAGGACAGGGGCAGGTAGAGGACACGTGTATTTCAGTGGGCTTGCTCCCGGCCATGCCAACTAACGGTTGTGTCTGACGTACCCACCGACCGTTGGCTGTAGGTGTCAGAGGTGACCTGGGAAGAGGAAGACGACCGAGCGCCAACCAATCGATGACGGCAGGGTTGTCGGTGGAGACACGACCGCTGGAATGACACCGGGTGCACTGGCCTCTGGCTGCGACTAGTGTGCCTCGACCCCTTCCTCTGCTGCCAGCGTCCTGCTTCGCTCCCCTAAAACATTGCCCTCCTCTGCCATCCTCTGCATGTTGTGTCTGACATACTCTTTAATTCAAAAGATTCTGTGTCCTGAGTAACCAATTTCTGAGGTCCCTCAGTAACAATTCTGTGTCCCTCAGTAACAATTCTGTGTCCCTGAGTAACAATTCTGTGTCCCTGAGTAAACAATTCTGTGTCCTCCGCTCGATGTAACAATTCTGTGTCTGTCCCTGAGTAAACAATTATGTGTCCCTGAGTAACAATTCTGTGTCCCTCAGTAACAATTCTGTGTCTCTCAGTAACAAAATCTGTGTCTGTCCCTGAGTAACAATTCCTGTTGTCTGAGTAACAATTCTGTGTCCTCAGTAACAATTCTGTGTCCCTGAGTAACGATTCTGTGGTCCCTCAGTAACAATTCTAGTG